CGGTCACTCGACAGTATGTACCTGTGCATGTCATCGGGTGCTGAAAGCCGATATCTCACAGACTGTGAAGCTGCAGGTTTCGTCACACCAAAATTCACTGGCAGCAAAAGAAGATCCAAACTACGTATCACATTAGAGAAACATCGTCATTAATTCCCTCTTACCTTTGCTGTTTTGCTCCCAGCACGATAAAAATCACACTTCCTGCACAGCTCTCTCTCTCTCTCTCTCTCTCTCTCTCAGTGTACTTAAAGACCAGTTTCCCATCTCAAGTATCAGCATTATTCGCTTGCTTATTATACGCCAGTCTGCCCTTGTTTACAGTGCTGTCGGCCGCTGTTTTTAAATTTTATTTATTTGTTTTTTCCAAAAATGACCGTCGGTAAGAAAGCCCGATTTCTGCTGTTCAATACCAAAGAAATTTAAGCTTTTACAAATGATGCCAAATTGCAAAATCCTTAGCTGTGTCTCTAATAAAACCTTTGTAACTTTGCTCTGCTTCACTTCAGCAGCATCAGGTAATGTTCATACAGTTCATACACTTTTCAGTTATTTGTTTGTAAAACATGTTTGGAATCATGTATGATTTTCGTTCCACTTCTCACGTGTAAACCACTTTGTGTTGGTCTTTCACCTGGAATTCCAATAAAATTGATTCATGTTTGTGGCTGTAATGTGACAAAATGTGGAAAAGTTCAAGGGGGCCGAATACTTTTGCAAGCCACTCTATGTTGGTTCATGATTTTCTTCATTTTTTAATCCACTGTATTAAAGGTTATGTGCTATAAAGCCATAACCAGGAAGAAGCCAGGTGAGGAAAATCTCCTTCATATTTTTCTGTTTTACCCTCAGTTACTTTGACTGCATCGCTGCTGTGATGCTTCCACCTCTGATGCAGTCTCACAATTGTCAGCTTTGTTTTTATACATGTCAACTAAATAATACATGTGTATATATATACACACACACACACTGATAAATGATCAGAACTAGGGCTGGGTATCGTCACTGATTTCTAGAATCGATTCGATTCCGATTCAATTCAATGTGAATCTGGGAAATTTAGCCTCAGACAGTCAGAAATATTATAATTCACATTTACATATTTTTGTATCTATAAAAAGGAAGCTGACACTCGCAAGACTTTATCAAAGGTGTAAGCATCACAGCAGATGCCTTTGTGTCAAAGCAGCTGAAGATAAAACAGAAAAATATGAAGGTGATTTTCCTGGCCCGGGATTTTATAAAAATATTCTGCAGTACATCAAAAACAAAAGAAAACCATTAATCAACTTAAGCACATTACCTCTGAAGTTACAGCGGTTTTATTAGAGACACGGCTAAGCGTTTTGCATTTTGCATAATTTTAAAAAGTTTAAATTTGTTCAGTAGCCTATTGAACAGCAGAAATGAGGTTTTCTTTTCGGACGTAATTAAAGGGAAAAAAACAGCGGCCAACGGCGCTGTAAACAACAGTAGACTTGTGCATAACAAGCAAGCGAATAATGCAGAAAACAGATTTTTAGACGGGAAACTGTTCTTGAAGTGTACTGTGTGTGTGTGTGTGTGTGAGAGAGAGAAAGAGAGCTGTGCATGACGTGTGATTTTCTCGTGGTGGGAGCAAAACAGCAAAAGTCAGAGTGAATCCATGATGATGTTTATGTGAAGTGTAGTTTGGATCTTCTTTTGCTGCTGGTTCAGTCAATATTGTTTGGAGAGAGATCAAACTAACAGCTTTAGAATCAGCGCAAAAAGGGCGT